TTCAATTCAAAGCAAATACTTTGCTGTACCATCTTAATCGAAAAATATATGTATAAGAACTAATAAACAAAGAAATATATTTCAAGTAACAAATATTTATCAAAATTGTACTCCAAGAAATTCATGCATTCTTCTTCTTCTACCTGGCAATTTCCCAGCTATAGCCAGGGTCTGCCTTACATTTTTGTGAATAGTTTTGGCTATTTGTTTTTACGACCGGCCGCCTGCCTGACATCAACCCTCTTTTGGGAATCAACATTAATCAGTGATGTCTAAATATTCTTAGAAAGTACATATGACTCGGAAAAATCACATTGGTACTTGCCCGGGCCAGGATCGAACCCGAACCACTAGGCCACCATTGACTAAGAAGTTTATGCATTATTGAATCAAAATACAAGAATCCAATGCATGTTTATTTAGTTTTCTTACTATTAAATCTATTGCGTTAACGGAAATAATATGGCACGAGAACCGGTTATTACTTAACGCTTACTATAAAATATAAACTCGCACTATCCTACATACAGCCGATATTAAAACCTCTTCTGTGATTTTAACTAATATAGAATGTTGTTTATCGAATATTCTATATATATATATAAAATATAAAGAAAATAAAAATATATTTAAATTAATTATTAAAAATTTACAAATACATAGATGAATTGTAATATGGCGTATATTATATATTTTTGATAAAAATAAGTAAAGTTAATTCTGTCAAAACTATTTATACACATTTATTTATATAATACTTCTTAAGATTCTCACTACGTACATTTAGTAAAAACTCTAAGAGCTAATATCAAAAATTTCTTTAAAATCTTCTATAATAATTGATCTACAAGAATTACTATACAATAACATATATTTCAAACTTGTATAGTATTTTAAATGATCATATATTTCATTGAGTCAGTTAAATTAAAGCTATCGTTAAACGAATGCAATTGCAACACGACATTGTACAAAGGGAATGGTACAGAAAGTGCAATCAAACCGGTTAATACAAATTACAAACTATAAAATTGAACCAAAAACAGTTGGCATTACAGTTATAAGTGATACCAACATAAAAAATTAACCTCCATAATTATTATTAAATTTGACGATGCTTTTATTATCAAACTAGCTTTCCGCCAGCTTTGCCCGCGTGGAGTTCAGTTATATCACGTTTCCAAGAGAACCCTACAAAAGTCTGGGATAAAAACTATCCTATGTTCTTTCTCAAGGTTTATTCTATCTCTGTACCAAATTTCATTAAAATTAATACAGTGGTTTAGACGTGAAAGCGTAACAGACAGACAGAGTTACTTTCGCATTTATAATAATATAGGGATATATTATTTGGATGATTTAAATATTCTCAAATGAATGTTATTTGTAAATACAGCGAGCTTTTTTCGTATCAGTAAGTATGAATCGATGGCTCAGGTACTTACTGAATTTAAAAGTAATCTATTTTAGTTTCGCAAGGCATACCTGGAATATAAATTATGTTCTGATTTTAATATATAAAATAAATTGGTCTTTTTATATTATATACTAAGGTTTGTTATGTAATTGTTTGTTTTAAATATAAGAAATTTTTCTTAAGCGTTCAAATAAATTAATTTTTGCACCGTCCAAAGTTATGTACTTATATTAAATAATGTTTTATTGATTCCCAAAGAGGGTTGATGTCAGGCTGTCGTAAAAACAATTAGCCAATACTATTTACAACATGTAAGGCAGACCCTGGCTTAAGCTAGGAAATTGCCAGGTAGAAGAAGATAAAATAATGTTTTGTTTAAAATTAAATTAATTATTATGAACTTATTTATTCATTGGCTGTCTGTACGTGTTCTATATGTCAGCCGGTTTGTTACATAAAATTACGTAAACCTGTTCAACGTACACGTGACTCAGTAATTAATCATTGCATACTTTTAAGGAACGAATTATAAATGGCAACCAGAGATTCAAGAAAAAATACGAAATTTACTTATATGTATATTATAATAATAAATACATATTAAAACTTATAACCTACACCTAAGACTATATTGCCCCGATATTAGGATAGCAATGCCATTCCATAGCTTGTGTGGTATCAGGAATCTTCTGGTTCACACGGCTTGGTGTTAATTCCGCGGAGTCAGCAACTCGTTATATGATATTTTATCCATACAACGATGTCGCCCGGCGATGTTCATTTATTTTTTGTTCCTGACCTACATTAATTTAAAATTATATCTTAATTTAAGCCATACAAGTAGTTAAACTATTTTAATACTATAGAAACGAATGTTACCTAACGTGTGCAGGTAATCAGCGTGAAGGTAATATTCAATTATGATTTATGGATCCGTACAATCGCTGGCATTATTTTAAAATGGTTCGTGATTATAAAAATGCGGCGATTGTATCATATTATCACAATTTGTATAATATATTTCGTTTTGAAATGTTGCGTAAATTATGGGGTACTTGACTTGGATTATAGATTATGAGAGTATTATGAGAATTTATTCATTCATATTATAGAATATTATAATAATAGTTATCATTTATAGTAATATTTTTATGATAAATAACATATGTATATAAATAAAAATCGGTTGAGAGATTTAGGCGTAACAAAGTAAGAGAAGACAAACATATTCTGGGCTTGTTTGTGGAATAAATAATCCTATATATATATACACACACACATACACACACACATATTAGCAAAATTTAATTCTATATCTACACAATAAAACTATCTATTACACGAAGAAACCAATCAATCACACTTAATATAGTTAGTGCAATAACTTGTACAGTGAGTGTTGGTTCATCTGTTCCTATATAGAACCTGTTTTAATACTTTTGTAATACTATTAAGAATATATTGTGGTGTTATGTTGCCTATTTGTTTTGACAACCCTTAATACTATGTAGTTTTGGTAGTGAAACTAAATACGTAGTATTTTTAGTTTTTCACTGATAAATAATCATATTTATCAGTGAAAAACAATTTAGTATCAAGGTATGTTTATTAGAAATTAAAGAATACGAAAAGACACTAATACTACTGGTCAGATTTCCTAGATATTTTCGGTAACTTCAGTTAATACTTTGAGCTATCTGAATTCACTGAGTTTAATATTAAATAGTACACATATATATATTAGTTTAGGTACTTGAATATAATTATGATATTTATATATATATAAAATCTATGACTTATTTGATCCAGGAATCTTCATACAAAATTTTTATGTCACGTAAATTATTTTCACAATTTTCCCAATAATATTTTTGTACCATGACATATTTATATTTTTAATAATAATATCGACTAAAGTTATTGAGTTATGTGTTAACAAACAGACATACATTCGCATTTTCACTATTAGGAAGAATATAAATGTGACATTGATTCAACTGCAAATTATCTATAACAACTCATGACCTAAGTAGCTCAAGTTTAATATTTGAAAGTTGTTTTTTTTTATCTTAATAACACATTACGGTTAATGGCAAGGTATTGAGCTGATTTCGTTTATTATATAAAATGTATATATATTAAAATTACATAAATACTTCTTGCACGGATTTAAATTATGACTTGTCAAGCAAAAAGGTTTTACTGTTATGTAAGACGACCTAATTTTATAGACATCAGTTCGAGAGTATTGTCTTGATTTTAATAAAAAATACTTGACAAAACCCGTTAGTTAAAAACCATTCTATGTTTCTTTATCATCCATTGTTCCTGAACTATTTTTGCTAAAAAGAACGTATATATTGTCTAACTGGAATGCCATTATTTACTTATACAACTAAAATATTTTTTTAATATATCATTCTTTTATTTATTCCATATATATCAATTATATTGTAATTATGTATATAGAAATGTGAATAGGAATTTACATAAAAACAAAGGCTTATATACAATTAAAACGTCTATACAATCACTTATAATTGCTACAACATTTATTATGAATGTCATATTTTTTGTACAAATAATTAAAAAATTAGATCTCTGTTTGAAAAAAAATATATGTCAAAGGACGTACATTGAGCTTATAATTGAATTCAAAAACTTTTCTTACGTCGGTGACATAATAAAGCAAGAAGTATTAATTTTGATTTAGGTAATAACAAAGAAATTTGTAAAATATATTAATATTACAAAAGAAAATCGTAAATATCAAACTTTTATAAAAATCAATTCGATATTATTGACCCAATTAAATTATACATTCACTGAATGAACAAACATATGTATTATATTACTTAAGTAAAATATAATATGTATTACACAATAATTCAATTAAATTAAAACTATGAAATAATCAATAATAAATAAACTATATATCTTTTCATCTATTCAATAAGTAATACAAATGGTTTTGGTTATGTACTCTAATTTTCCGCAATGCAATTATAACAATAGTCTGATTTTAAATGACCCATACTAAATGCTTTATTATATTTCCTTACGGAAAAAATATTGAATATACAGTGAGTTTACGATGTTGTATGACATTGTATAATACTAAAAAAACTTTATGCGTATAAAAATTTATACATATGTCAAATGATTGATTTTTTTTTGGAAATATCGCTGGTAAATTTGTAAATAAGTAATTTGATCTTTGTCAAGGTATATAGTTTTATTTGTAAACAATAACTTATCTTTAATTAATTAATAGATTATTACGTTTGTTTGTATGCAGTTCAAATGTCAATATCACTTTTGTTTTGTTACAGATAATATTTTACGCGATCTTGGACTCCATGCTCAGGAACTCTGCTGTCAATCAAGATATGACAGAATAGTCTTTGAATAAACGCGTTTGGAAAACAAAGCTTACAAAATCGGTTAAATACATTGGCGAAATCTATAAGGAAAGAAGAAGAAGAAGAAAATCGGTTAAAAAGCTTCCAAAAATCGGTTAAAAAGCTTCCAAAATCGGTCACAAAATTATGCAGATATAATTCTTCTCAAAGATACAATCATGATGGGTTCGTGTAAGCTGTGTGTGTGGATATTAATTGTGGTTGTGTGTATCCTTGGAAAGATATCTGGTCTTGATAATGGATTGGCTTTGACACCACCTATGGGATGGCTCGCGTGGGAGAGGTTCAGATGTAATACGGATTGTAAGAATGATCCTGATAATTGTATAAGGTTGGTTATATACATATATAGCTGTCTATCAAATAAAATGTAATTAAGATTCTATGCAGATTCTTCTTAATATAATATGTATGTAATTTTTTTGCTTAGGATTTTTTCAACGATCCAATATTTTAGTAGCCTCAAGTTAATCAATTTACAGTATTTTTAATGTAATGCAAAACTAATATATATAATAGTTGTCTATCGAACAAAATGTAAGGAAGATTGTACGCAGATACTTCTTAATTTGATTCTTTGTTTGTGCTAATTTTTTTTTTGCTTAGAATTGAATAACGGTCCAAATTTTACATAGACCTAACGCTAATCACTTTAAGGTATTTTTAAACTAAAATTTATATGAAAGCTCTCTTATTGCATATCGTAAATCAAATTTAACGAGACTAAGAACCAGTTTAAAAAGACCCCTCTTTTCAGCGACCGTCTGTTCAGAACTATGACGGATATATTGGTAGCTGAAGGGTATGCTGCCGCTGGTTACGAATACGTAAATGTTGACGACTGCTGGCCTGAGAGGGAGAGAGATCCGAGAGGGAAACTTGTACCTGATAGAGAACGATTCCCGTATGGAATGAAGAGCCTGTCTGATTATGTGAGTAATATATATAAACTAACATATAATATATCGTCGGATAGTGCAAATGAACGTATCTACATTGGAAGCAGATTATCAGAAGAAAGTTTGAGCTGAAATAATTTCTATAAATAATAAATTAAACATTAAATAAGTAGTAATCGTGAAAAAATTTCCTTAAAATTCGTTAATATAGAATATATTTTAGCTCAAACTTTTTTCTGGTAATCTGCTTCCAATGTAGATACGCGGAATTATCTTATGGTAGTTACGCGGTTTTGCAATATTACCGACGATATGACAATTATCTTCTATCTTCTTCTTCTATATATATAAAAATGGATTGCTGTTCCTTGGTCTCGCTAAAACTCGAGAACAGCTTAACGGATTTATATTATCTTAGTCTTGAAATGTTCGTGGAGGTTCAGGGAAGGTATAAAAGGTGAAAAAAAATTTGATTCCTTACGGGGAAAACCATAAAAACAGCCCTTTTCTATTTCCCATACAAACGTTTTCTTTGATATTAGATTTGACAACTAACTAATATGTCAATCATTCTGTCGCACTTCAATACACGGAGATTTATGGCTTACAGGTAAACTCCAAAAATATAAATAAAAAAACGTAATAGATATTTCTTGATTATAGGGCGACACAAAGTTCGCCAGGTCTTCTAGTATTCAATAAAAAACTTTGTTTGTTACGAGTTTAAAAAAAAGGTTATAACGATTTTTTTTTACGTTAGATAAGCTCAACATTAAAGTATTGGTATTTATATGTACAATAAAATTTTCAGTAACACTTTTTTACACCCACTTTCATATGATTTAGTTTAAAGGTTAGAATTCTGATCATATATATATAATTTGTATGTAGGTATATAACGATATAAAATTCAATGAATTTCTTTACATCATTGGATCATATATGGTGTATTGTTCGTGGTGCGTGTCCGTAATTATCGCGTGTCCAACATTATGCACTTGACATTTATGAAGAACTGTAAAGCAAATTGTATGATGTATTTCAATGGCATAATGAGCGTACATTGATCCTAATCGGAGACGATTTTATCATTTAATTATACAACCTCAATGTTCTGTGTATATAAGGATGAGTGTTATTATCATTGTTTTCACAGATTATATTAAAAACTTTGACATTTGTTTTTGTTTGACAGCAATGTAGCTGTCAAGTTGTCAAGTTGTTGTGACATTTTTCTTATGTTTATAGGATTTTAAATCGATTTTTCGTCCAACAATTGAGACGTTATCAAAATATTCCACGATCCAATGCGAATGAAGTACCAGCTTAAAAAAAACTTAGGATTAATATATATTGTTATATCCATATATAGGTTTAGTTTAAAAGTAATTTATATAAAATTGGCTTTATATATTTTGATTCTATTAAGCAAATACATGATTAAGTATGAATTTTACAAAGCCAGATCAAAAAATATTTTAACATCGTCAACACCATGATGCCATAGAACTGTCATGATGAAGATGAATGTTAAACTTAATGTACAAAGTTGCGTCATTCATTCGTTCAATTGAACATAAAAGAATGACATAAACCGGTCTCTAACCCTTACATCATTGTTGGATTCAGTTCATGTGAGTTTCTCATGACCAAAGAAATTGTTTGTTCGTTTGATATACGAGTATGAAAGCAATTTTTTTAATGTTCCCTACGTTAATGCAAATTTCACTTTACATTAAATTAATGATGACGCAAGTTAGTGACTTTAAAGTTACGAATAGAATGAATGTTTGTATGTATTTTTTTCTCATATTATTCTACTTAAATGTCGTAAAATATATTCGAATATATATTACGTCAGTGGTAGCCTGGTGGTTAAAGGGCCCGCCTCTCGTTGCCGAGGGCGCGGGTTCAAGCGTGGCAAGTGCCAATGTGTTTTTTCGGATTCGTATGTACTTTCTGAGAGTATTTAGATATTGACAGACGGAGAAGGAAATCATCGTTGGGAGACCTGGACTTATAGTTTCACAATTATAAGTTTGAAATCACCAACCCGTCTTGAGCAAGCGTGGTGATTAAACCTTCTCCATGTGAGAAAGAGGCCTTTGCTCAGCAGTGGGCTCTGAAAGGCTGATGACATATATATTGAAGAATTTATGATTACAATCATATACATAAAATATTTATTAAAACTCGTTTAATGTATTTAGAAAATCACATATCAAGACACAAACCTATATTTTATAAAGTTTTTTTAACAACTATTTAAGGTAACAATACTTAAACAGTAAAAATGTATAATAAGATCAATTGCCTTGATAGCTATTATTGTACGAACAAGCAAACTTCATACAGACGTGAAACTATGCGAGAATGGATGTGTGGAACATGAGTTACGAAAAAAACTTCTCAATGTATTTTTTATTCACCTTGATAGTAATGTATAGCGGTTTATAAATTAGCAAAAGAATTATATAAATATAATAAATAATAAACTTGTTGAACACATTGTACTAATTTTGATGAAAATTTTAATATATAAATTATGTCGTAATGAACAAAAAAAAAATTAAGGCGAATTGAGATTCTCGTCTTATTTGAAGTAATTTAAAAGATTATAATAATTGCATATAGATTAAAATAAATAATAATTTAGACTTATCTATGCAAACCAATATAATGAGATTTAAATTGAAAACATCATTGATGTTAATAATATTTACAATAAATTTTATCTTAAGATCAATCTTTACCCTTACAACCCGCCAGCCTCGTGCTCTTATCTGGCTGCGATTTAAAATCTTTATCTATCCATTAAGTACTTATTAATTACATCGCGTCATATACATATATCGCGTGAAACATGTTTCTTATGTTTTATAGTTTTTCTGAATAAAAACTGAATATATAACAATTTGAAATAGAGATTTTTTGTTCGTACATATACCTATGTATCGCAGTTTCGAATAATCGTATATATAAAACTCTCGTGTCGCGGTGTTAGATAGAAAATTCCCCCGAAACGACTTGACCAATTTTGATGAAATTTTACGAGCATATTGAGTAGGTCTGAGAATCGGCCTACATCTATTTATGATATTCTTAAGTCATAAGGGTTGTTCACCGTAATTGTTTTTTCGGACGAAATTTGCTGTTTTTATTTTTTTTATAACGTAGCATTAAAAAATACATACAACTCCAAAATTTTTACTATTTTATCACCAACCCCAATTTTTTTATATGACAAAACAACGTTTGCCGGGTCAGCTAGTTGTTTTATGAAAATGTCTCGTCGATTCTACATTAAGATGCATCACACAGTTTATTTCGTAATGCTTGCAAAAGTATTTATTAAATATGTAATATATATAATTATAATAATTATATCATAACGAGGTCTCCTCTCTAGACAGTTTGCGTAATAGTTTTTTATATGATATAGCAAATATCATTTCACTTTTAAATATGAAAAATACGATTTCGTAAAAGAAGGGCATTGATTGACCTTACATTCTTGTTATATATGAGAATTTATTAATGAATACTTACATTTTCTCTTATTTCTATTATATAAATGTATGTATGGTACATTCTTGCAGCATCATTTATTTCAATAAATATACAGGGTGACTCACCAGTTACTATCAATATTTACGGAGCATACTCGGTACATGATTCTCATTCGAATTATGTAAAAAAAATAGGTACTTAATTTTTGACCAAATTTCCATATAAATGAATAAAGGGTGGACACGTTCCAAGTGTTCCAAGTGTGGCCGCGTGCGGCGGCGTGCTGATACAACACCACGCCGCCGACGCGCGTGTGTGTGTGTGTGTGTATACCTAATCTGTAGGGTGTTCACACGATGCGTAATTAATTAAATAACTTTTGGTTAACTTTACTTAGAAGTTTATTAATATTTATGTTATATTAATTTTTATTTTGTCATATATGATCGTCAAATATCACTTCCTCAAGTATCGATAGTAATTCACCAGTCACCCTGTATATATTATTTCATTCGACATATTTATTTTAAAAACCACTTATAATAATTCTCGTGTTTAGTATAATCGTTTTGAATAATATCATTAAATAAATAAAAAAATCGTTTAATCAACGTAATACTTGCTGCTAAACATAATAATTATATCTTCTATATATATAAAAATGGATTGCTGTTCCTTAGTCTCGCTAAAACTCGAGAACGGCTGAACCGATTTGGCTAATTTTAGTCTTGAAATACTCCTGGAAGTCCAGGGAAGGTTTAAAAGGTGAGAAAAATTGGAATGATTGCCGAAAAAACCCTAAAAACAGCCCTTCTCTATTTCCCATACAAACGATTTTTTGACATTAGACTTGACAACTAACTAATATATCAATCATTCTGTTCGATTGAAACAGTAGAAATTTAATAAATACCAATCCCGGTTATTGAAGACGGAATAGAGTTCGCCCGGTCAGCTATACCTATATTACTAATGACGAAATTAACGCGGACGAAGTCGCGGGCAAAAACTAGTATCTATATATATAAAAGAAAGTCGTGTTAGTGACTTCACTTATAACCCAAGAACGGCTGAACCGATTCAGCTGAAAATTGGCAGGGAGGTAGTTTAGAACCAGGAAATTGTAATAGGATACTTTTTATCCCGTTCGACAGCATTCCCGTGGGACTTGACATGAAACGTCAGTCATTATAAAACGTGGAATAACACAATTGACAGCTATGCAATTGACGTATAATGACAGATATGTAATGACGTATGGATGACAATTAAATATTTGTAAGAAATCTACTATATAAAACTAAAAATATTTAGGTAATGTGTTTGTAGTTTGAACTCAAAAACCATTTAGTATTTGCGGGATAAATTTAAAAAATCAGTGTTTTTCACATGGGCAGTTATATTTTGCGTGTTCACGAGTTTGGAAACCATACGCTTTATTTGTGTTAAAGTTAGATCAAAACACAAAAAATGTGGTTTACAAAGGAGCACTTCAATGAAACGGATAATTTGCGGACACGTAC